AAAATACATGCAAAAGATACAATGCTTAAAGGTAATTAATACGTGGTGGAAGTTGTGTATGCCAGCAGGCCGTAGTAAATTATCACAGCTTAACATAATCAGTAAAACCTAAGACAAAAACATGCATTCTTTTCAAATGTTAAATTCACAAATCTAGATTCACAATGAAGAGGCTCCTTGATTTAAATCACATAATTATAGTAGCCATAGTGGTGCTGTTGAGGCCATGGTGATCATCTAAGACCATCGGTGAAGCAAGCTTTGTGGAGAGCGTTAATACTTTTTATTAGATCAGCTTACAGGGTGGGAAAAGTTTGGGGCATGTTTAACTCTTCTTGTCTGATTTTCCTACTATACTAGCTAGCCTAATATAAGCTATTATCTCCCTGTGTAAGCTTTGTCTGATTATTTAAATCAGCCAAACAAAGACAGGTACCCACTTAAAAACTCATTATTAAGTCAAATGAGCATTTAGGGTTTTTTGCCACCCACAGATGCCAAAGCTAATATCCAGCAGAGACATGTCATTCATTAGTATAAAAACCTCATACCGAGGAGATGTGTTGTACGCTTTCAATTAGCAGATGAAATGCAAAAAAGTTGCTTCAGTAGAATTAACAAAACAGAAAAAAATCGAGCGTTATTATCTATAATAACAGCTAATAATACTGGATTATTAATGGTTATAATTAAGATAGAACATTCTAACAAAATTCTTAACACTGACTAATAAAAGGACTTCAGTATATTCCAACTTTGAAAACATTACTCAAATCTAGAAATTTGATACAATTAATGTTTTTTCATACGGGATGTAGCTTTAAGGTTTACAAAATGGGATGGAGAAAAACGAAAAATAAAAAAGTCTTATAAAAAATAAAGTCTATATAAAATATCTTTTTGTTGTGAAGATCTCTAAATCAAAAGGTTATTTAACAATACTCAGAGAGTAGCAATACTCTTACTCATTAGTATAAGACATTATGTATCCCATTATACTATTCTGTCCTAATTTTAACCACAGAGAAATACCAAAGGTATGTCAAAATGATTTTCAGGAAACTCAACAGCTTTGAGATATTCTCCCTGGCTAGGTGACAACCATATCTGTTGAATTTGAGGGAACACTTACAAGGGTCCCCCATTTTTACATATTTCAAGAAAGGTTAAGATATGAATGCAAAGAGCTACAGTTGGAAGTGGTGTTGGATCTGGTTCCAAAATTGATGCTGAGAAAAAAAAAAGATTATTCTGTTTAATGTAGCTTTAAAAAAAAAAAAAAAAAAAAGTGGGATTCTAGTTTCTGCAGTCTTACAGTTACCTTCAATGTGTTTATAAATCAATAAACAATGTTTTTGCCGTCACAGAATCCTACAAAGCAGAAGATGTGAGTGGTGGCACTTACCTACAGGGAAGTAGGAAGAAAAATAGGATCATGTCCTCTCATTAGTCTAAATATTAAATAATTCTAAATCATGACAAGTTCCATTCAGCTTAAGCTATACCTTGTAAATATGAACCAGCAGATATTCTCTGAAATAGGATTGTTGGAAATCACAGATTTTTTTGTTGTTGTTGTTTAGTGGTACTATTACTTAAAAAATGATTAACATAGAAAAATTTATTACTATATACAAAGTAGGGATTTGTTCTTAGTAAAAACATATTTCTTGTAATTTAGTAAAGAAAAATCTCTAAAAACATTTCTTGTGAAAACCATATAATTAAGGCATATACTGGGCACACTAATTTTCCAAATTGAGTTCTAACTTACAAGTTAATCATACTCAGCCCTGGTGTAAACAAGCAGAATTTTCACAGTTCAGAAATAAAATTGTACATTTTGTGCTTTGTGAGACATTTTCCTTATCTGTTACATCTTAGCAAAACAACATCCTATAATTTTGCACTCTTATCCTATTTTGATCTCTCCAGATTTAAAACAAATTCATATACAGGTTCTAATAGTAAAAACAGCATTTAGAGGGTAAGCACACAAACTTTCATTTATTTATTTTTAATGTACAGCAGAGCTTCTGCAGGTAAGAGGAAATGCTTGAGGTGGGCACTGTATCATAACAGCTAATTCTAACCTTATGTAAATATTAACTGTGTGGGTATTGTCAGCCATTATATTCCTATTTGAAAGAAGAGGTGAAATATTTATTCTCTTGCAATCATTGGTTTTATTTATTAAAATTTATATATATATATATGTTTTATATTATATATATATATGTTTTATGCTTGAATGGTTTTGAAAAGAAATTTAAAAAAACAACTGCAAAGAAACCACGCCACCTTATGGCAGAAGACAGCAAAACTGACAGCTGGTATTTCAGACACCACAGCTCCAAAGGCAAGAGGAGCAAGTTCATAATGTCATAACAAGTGCAAATGCAACCTTCTTCAGACCCATGAGAAATGAGCAGTGTTCACCATATGCCCATAAAAGGAACTGCGTGGAAGTTCACTGCTCAATTTAGAAGACTACGATGATCTTAGCAGGAATCAAACCCACAAGCTTGGAGAGGCATATTCAGTTTCAGACTTAGTGTTTGGGTCAGTACCTTATCCGTTCTGCTTAGATAGCTGGAAACAATACAACAACTGAGTAACCTATATAATATGTTCATAATCATTATTCCAGAGGTGGAGTCTCTAAGAATTTCCTGCTATTGTTATTTCCTCTTCCAGCAACTCTAAATAGATGGCCTGAAATAATCTAAACATGCACTGACAACATTGTGTTCTACTACACTTCGCATAACAGTCGTTGGGAATAACGCTGCAGTAGCAACATTAAAGTTAGAACCAAAACCAAAACATCTCATGCTATTTTACTTTGACTTGTCAAGTTTTGGAAATTATTCTCAGGGTTGGTATTTCACCAGGTGGCTGGGATATATGAAGGCTAAGTGTCATTCTCTTGTAGCATGCAGAGAAAAAAAAAAAGAGATTTTCAAGTGAAAAGCAGCAGCTGACAGAGAGCAGTCCACACCCACGTGGCTACATTTAATAATTAATCCAGATACAGTTTTTAGTACAAATTGTTTCTACTTTGTCCAATTCATACCATGGCCTAGAATTTTCAGTTTCCCCATCTAAAGTAACAGCTTTGACTATTAGGACATTGTGTAACACAGAGACTCCCAGTTCTTCCTGTTGGTGGGACAATTTATATATATTATATATACCGACTGGGAAACAAAGAGAGAAAAATGGATTTCATAGCCCAGTGACTATGATATCTTTCCGAAATTAACGGAGGGTAAGCACCGTGTCCCTATCTTGGTGATTATTTTTGCAATGCAAAACAGCTCCTACAACAGAAATTAAATGATATCCTTGGTGTTTACAGCTCCCTCAGAATATGAGATATTCACATAAATCTCTATGAAATCTAAATCTAGAAGAATGTGGTGTGAACCCACTTTTTTCCTATCACACATGAATCACTAGCACTTGGCTCTTAGATATTCTGAGGTCGTATCTTGCTGCAACCAGAAATTCTGTCAAAACTAGCAATATGTATCAGAAAGGTTTTTTAATTTAGAAAAATTTTCTAATGAAGCAATATGTTCCTAGACAGTTACCAAACAGCTTTATTTAGAAGATCTTGCTCTGTTTGTTGAAGTTGAGCACTTACTATATTAAAGTCAGAAGTGCAAAGAAATGAAAACTATTTTCAGTGACTAGTAAAGAAAAGCAAGACACTGGAAAGCTTCAGACAGGAAGAAATAGACTACAATGAAAAAAAAAGGTACTTTTTTTTCCTTTAAAAAATCTGAGAAATAAGTAGCGACAAATCCTACCTGCATTCCCTAAGCACACCAGAAGCTCCTTCCATATACTCCGTTCCCTAAAAATCCAGTGCACTGAGGTCTCCCCTCCTTTAGTTCAGAGTTAGTGAAATGCCTTTCTTCCTACATCTTGCCACAACAGGAAACTCAGAATATGTCTTTCTTTCCTCCTCCCCTCTCAAACACTTTTTATACACCTCCTTCCCATTTAGAGGAATCAGTGTGCCACATTCCCTCCCATGCCAAAGAACAGTGTAATATGTATTACATGGCTCCTGTGCCAAGAGCTCTGCACATAGTTTTGTTTCTGCCCAACCACAAACCTTCTTCCAGAGAAGCATGATAAAGGGGTAAGGGAAAAATCTCTCCATTTGCCTTCACATCACTATGGGTCAGGTTTTCAGGAGGAAGCACACTAGAAGAGAAGATATAATGAAGCCGTATTCCTTCAGCTTGAGAGATGCTCTCAGCAGAGCAGAAGGAACAGCTTTTCAAATTCAGGTGACTTTTCATTCTCTACTTCTACCACAATTACTAAGCTTTGGCCACTGAGGCCCAGACATCAGCTGACGTTATACCAGATGTGAAATAGTGTTATTACATTACATTCAGAAAACCCCAAAATCACCATACCAATCACCAGCACCACGTTGATTAGGCATTCCCTTTTCCAGCTGCTGGCATATAGGGAGGAAAAACTTATTTAATCTGTTTAAACAGGATCTTTTTCCATACTCTGAAAACTAAATTCCTTAGGGAACTATGTAAAGAGCTTGGTCTTTGTATTCAACACCAGAAACATATGTAACCCCCCAAAACCTTCTCATTGTAAGGAATATCAGCTGAATGATAAAAAGAATGTGATGAACATTAGTTGTTTTTTTTTTTTCTTGTTGGTCAGGATAATTAAATTCCAACTATTGTTTTGTTCTATATGACCAGCTGCGATGGGTAAAATAAAGTTAAAATTCCCCACAGAAAGAATGGCCACTGCTAGCATCAATGTAAACTATTAAAGAAACACTGAGAAAGTCAGGTGACACCTGAAAGCTCTATTTCCCCCAAACAAATGCCATAATAACTTTTATTACACTACAGACATTGCTTACTCTCCTTCATTTATCACCACCATTAACTACTATACATGTATATTCCTCACCTGGACTCATTTCTAAGTTTTAAGTGAAAGTTAATTACCTCAAGGTCATCCAGTGAACGAGTAATACTAAATCTCTTAGATCTTCCAAATGATCTTCGAGCAGAAGAACGCTGGGGAGGAGCCTGATTTAATCCCACTGAATGTCCAAATTTTGAACCCTAAACAAGAAAGAAAATATATATGATTATTTTACTTCTTTAATTTTAGTACATTACTGATCATACTGACAGCATCTGTATTTTATACAATTCTACTTTTGTCCAGCTTGACTGCACTGATAGAGACAGAATTCCAAGGAGACAGATTTGCAAACCTCTGACAGGACACCAGGTTCAACAGAAGCTCATCACTTACCCTGTAAAGTCATGTATTAAAATCATTAAAGATATGAAAGTACTTTTTCAGACTAAAGTCAAACAATTATTTAGCATTAAGTTACTTTATCAACACAAGTCATCGTTTAGGTTGCTAAAGTGCACACATGCTACATGTAAGCATTAAAAGATAGAGTTTAATGAAATTCCTTAAAATGAAAAAATATTTGTCCTTTCTATAGGAAATTGCCATCCTAGAAGTCATCTCACACAGCTTCTGTTAGAATCTTTTTCCACTCTTAAAAATCTTGTTTTCACTATGCATTTTTTTCTGGAGTTTTGTTACTGTAAAATCCAACTTGTTAAATCATACAGAACAAAACACAAGAACAAAATGCATTATTCTTTTATTCTGAAGAAAGAAACTACCTCACTCTGATATTTCATGACTAGAATTGGTACTGCAATGGTTTTATGTTTTCCCCATAATCGTACTCTTTCTCCTTAAAAAATAACCAAAGGTTGGTTAAGCTACAACAACTCAGCATGTATATATCTACTTTATGCCAAATGGAAAATTCAAGCTTAAACCTAACAGTAGGCACAGTCAGTGACTGGTGCTAAGCAGATGTACATAAACTCACTACATTATGAAAACTTGTGATGATATGCCTGAAATTTTGGATTCCTTTCACTGTAACATTCAGTGTGGGGAAAATTCCTTCCTGTCTTCTGATGTTCTCTTTCACTTGAGAAAATAATGGAGTTTAATTCAGGGTAAAATTTCTTCTAGGTCATTTCAGCATCTTTCTTCATCACAGTAAGCTTCAAAAGTATTTATTAGAACTTTTATAGTTGCTTACTGGCAGCTTTGTAATATTTACTAAAATGTATTTTTCTATCTTTTTCTTCCTTTGGGCTACTTTTTATGCTCTCAGTTCTGAAATATGTGGGTATCCCTTCAATCCTTTGTTTGAATATCTCTGTGTGTCACATTACTGGAGAGAACAATCATAAATTTCACACTTAGAACTTCAAACTAACAACCACTCACAAGAAGTAGAGAACATCAAGAACATTATACCACCACCTTGCTGCAATAAGAGATGAGCCATCCAAGAGAAGATGTCTACCTTTATTTGTTCCTACAGAGTCATTACAATTCTTTAGCAACAGAGCTCTGACAGCCACCACTATTCACAATAGACTGTTTAAAAGCCCCTGGAAATGTCAAGATATAACACAGGATACAGGAATCTGGATCCAAAGTATGTAGCAAGGTTCATCACTGCAACAAGGTAAGACTCCAGCTTCTTCATTTGGTATTAGAAGTGATCCATTTTTATAGGAAATCTCTTTCCCTCCCATCTTTCGATTTAGTAAGATTTTTATTTTTTTTTTATTGGGTGAGAAAAAAAAATGGGGCAGCTTCTGCCAAGGAAAACTGGAAATCTGGCAACTGGAGATTAGCTTCTGAGGTTTTTAAGAGAACATTTAGAATTGCAGTACAAAAAAGCTAAGATGGCTTTTGCTAACACAGTCAAGTAAATGTGAAGACAAGAAAGTTGCTATCTGTAAATTGTCACAGATAGCGCCCACTGGAACAAGTACTGTTCCTAACTTTCCGAGCAGCTTTTGAAATCATCTGTTCCTCCAGGCAGGTATCGCTGAAGTGGTTCGCATTTGGCTCATGTCAGTCGCAGTCCTTCCTGTCCAAAATGTAAGCCTGCACCTAATGCAGTAACCTGTGTCAAACAGCAAGTTCCACATCAGTCCCTGAGTAAATTCAGCAGTATCCATTGCTATTACTGCCCAGCATGTCAGAGTACTAACATGGCAGCTCCTGTGTCCATATGTTCCAGTTAAACCAGCACAAACACATGCATTCATCTTCCAGGCTTCATCACTAGCCATGTATGACCAGACCTGTTTTGGAATTCTTTATTTTTTAATCTGTAAATTAGCGATAAAACAATCAGACTACGAACAGCTCAGCAAATTCTAAGGCTAGTGAAATGAATGCCATCATTAATGGGAGTACAACTGGTGTTTTGAAACTAATTAAACAGCCACCCAGTATGGATTCAGCTTAATTGTCTCTGAGGTCTTTCCCAAGACAAGATGCAACACCCAGAGGACATTAAAAAAATGGTGAAAGGAAACAAAGAAAAAAAAAAGGACTATCAATAGCAGTCATATCTATTTTGAATCATGAATATAATGAATACATTTCACTTTTCTTTTTAATTCAGCCCAAAAAGTACATTAACTATCTAATATATCTTTAAAAAAGCAGAGATTGCCATGTACAATTCTGGGACTGTCAACCAGCAAACACAGAAAGAAAAAAAAATTAGAAAGCAGTGACATTACAAATTGGAGGAAGAGGAACAAACCGCCTGAAGACAAAGTTAATTATATTCCACTGAGAAGCAGATTCTAGATAACATTAATTCTCACCAGATGCCCCATTTTAGAAGGAAATACAGCTTACCTAGTTGTGGTCAGAAAAAATAACAAAGAGAAAGAGGGAGAGTGGATAAAAACATTTGAAAATTGTGTAGTAGTAGAAGAGACAACAGAATATTAATACCCAATCAAACATTTTCTTTATGGTTTTTGACGTTGTTATATAAAACTCACTACTGAGCACTGGATGTTATGGTAAAGATAAGGATCAGGAAAAAAAAGACTCTGATAACAACACAGGGTATAAGAAATAATTATGACATATAAAAGTTCACTAAGCTAACAATTTCCTCAATCCATTTGGATAACAACTGCAATTAGACAAATGTTTTCAGCTGACAAAAATCTCTTTCTTTCAAAAATCCAAACTAGTAATCCTGGAAATTAAGAAAAACATTGCTAAAAAATATATATAAACTAAAATTCACAAAGTATTTAATTTCCTGGCAATGGTGCTCAGAAGTCTTCCTTTTCACCCTTTCTGGACTCCTTTCCAGATATTCAGACTATGAAGGTACATGGCCTTCTTCAGATCAATTCAATTCAATATTTTAAAATTGCCTTGCATATACACATGCAAACAAAACACTGTAACTTAAGCAAACAGCAGCAACATTTTGGCAAGTGTGTTTCATGGGACTCTGAAGAGCTGGAAATAAAAACACCCATGACTTGAAAAGGGAACACAAACATTGCAACTAGATTGTACTAACCAGCATGGCTAAAGAAATCCACAGCTTTTAATCAAATAGAGATTGCTAGTGCAATGACTGATATTAATGTCAATTTTGCAGTCTATTAGCCGTAAAGAAATTATCATAGTTCTAAAAATCTTACGCTATTAAACATTTTTAAGTTACTAAATGGACCTTAAAACACTCAAAACTGTACATTATGTGACCAACAAAATACTGTCTCGTTCACCATTAGCTGCCCAGCTAAAACACTGAAATTTGCTACATGAACGGTGGCATTGGCTTGTTTTGTTTTGTTTTAAATACAGATTGCCCACCTGCCCTAGAACTATTTCCTGTATCTTAAAGATTCTCTTCCAGAAGCAGTGCTGCTGAATCTATAAAACAGAGCTCTCAGAAAATCTAGATATTCAAGTCAATCTAAACAAACCCTATTACAGAACAATATTAGAAACTCTACTCCATCTGATGTTTTACCAGTTGGCTTCATTTTAGGAATCCAGAAACAAACAGAAAAGCACCGAGATTAGTGACAACCAATTGATTAGTGAAAAGCATGTGCTAGAGCAATACATCCTCTGCATTTCACCATACAGATACTTACATGCCTGCTGCTATCATGGTCAAAGTACAAAAGACCGTATCTCCACAAGCCTTCACCCTATTACCATTCCACAGATGAAGAGGTAAACCAACAATGTATTAAAGGAATTGACACAGTGATGGTCTAAAAACTTACCATTCCTTTTCCTATCCTTGTAACAAGGAAATACAAGTCAAATGCATAATCAGAAGAGAAAAAAAAAAAAAAAAAAAAAAAAAACAGGACAAGGAATGGGTTTGCATAATCTTTTTTAATGTATAACTAGATCTCCCTTTTTTCCTTAGGCTAACAGGAATCGGTAAGTGCAAATATATTCACATGAGGTAACTATCCATCTGACCAAACTGTAGACTTTCTTTCCCTTCAAATACATTATATATATATATATACACATTATTATTATTTTAACACGCTTATTTGGCATCATGGGTGAGTTATGTCTTAATCTACTTTACAAACAAGGTATTAAATACAAAATTCACCAGCAAGCAATTGATATAGCAGCAGTTCGTGGATGTGTCCAAGGTGAGAACAATTTCTCTGAGAACAAAAAATGTGTACAGGAGAAAGACAAATACAAGAGTGCAAAACATTGTACCTGATGCATGAACAAAAGAGGGAGTTGAGAAGCACAGGAGCCATGCCAGACTGCAAACAGAGGGCCAGAAAGAGCAAGAATGATCCACTACAAGGTGACTTGCAAAAATCTAGCTCTTTAAAGACTAAGAAAGAAAATGGATGTGCTTAGAAGGAATTTTAACATAAACAAGTTAGGCACTAGTTCCCTATAACTTTTTTTTTTTTTGGCAGCTGTGCTGGGTTAAGGACTCTGACCACTCCTGCCAGCTCCCAGGCTGCAACAGGCTGTCCCCTCATCTCCACTAACAATAAACTGGAACCTTAAAGCTATCCTGTTTGTAACTCAGATCGATCTACAGCCATGTCAATACAACCGAAGATGGACACTGCCACTGCTGGATTGAGAATGACAGGACCTCTTTAAATTGGTAGCACCGACGAAATGCAACGTGAAACTGCGGTCCTCAATGTGATACTCTAGCCTGGAGCAGGAGGGC